ACAAATGGCTCATTAATAAATACCAAGCAATTGATTTGATATTTTATCAAGATTGGGATTGTAGATACAAGCTTTAGTGCAATTCATATAGATGTGATTTTTCTTACTGAGTGTTCTTACAACCCTAAGGTGGATGCTATTTCTTACTGAATGTTCCCGTGGAAGTGAAAAAATCTTATATCATCAAGGAAACTTAAAAAAGATCTTTTATATTTGTGATATGTCCGTCGATCTATACGTTTTACTGTATCCTTTTCTAACGTTTCCGTTTAGAGAAACTTCATTCCTCAGTTTCCGACTATAAATAAGGTTTCGTTTATCAGATCCAGAGTTTAAAACAACACACATGTTTCAAATTGTCTGTCAACACTGATGTTACTTAGAAACCAAATGTACTATTTTTTTTTATAAATTGTTCAAGGAAATTTATCGATGTACTCGAATGTTTGTTAGAATTCTTAACCACATAATGGTTAAAGTATTTTTTAGATACAAGTTTAAGCGAACAATCCTCACAATTTCTTGGTATAATGTCAGAATTGTTTTGCTTACAAGTCTGCTGAATAACGGAATTTCCTTCCCAGTTTACAACAGCCAGGCATTTAAAGGGCTGCCCACACCAAAGATTATTGTCGGCAACCATTCTGCGGCTATAACTACATCACCGAAAAACCATAGGGTTTGATAAAAAAAAATCTGTATTGGCGATTTGTTAGCAGACATTGTCTGATGTTTTGATGCAGTGGTAAACGCTTGTGTGCACATAGGCATGTAAATTGCCGATGAAAAGTATATTGTTAGAAATCGGTATGGTGGCGCTAAATGGTTCACCCGACAGATTGTGACATACGAGAAACCGTGTTATCTGCGACAAATGATCTTTGGTGCGTACAGGCCTTAATTTGATTTTTGTTTTCATTTCAAATAATTACGATTGCTTATATATTTGTTTTGTAAACCCGGTATTGCTGTTTTGTTTTCATTATAAATATTGACATCTTCTTTAAAATCCATTATCCCATCAAACTTGTTTCAATGTCCACCATGAGCTATATTGCCAACCAGGAATTGGATGTAAATCAATGATTAAATAACTTGACAGTGTTATTGAGAATTGAATTCGAAACACCACATAGGATCTTATCGTATTTGTTTATCGTTACGGTCTATTAACAAAAGTTCCATGAAGCTGACGGCTTCGCGGGAACTTCAGTTGTATTAATAAACATCCTAGTAGTTACGAATTTATTTTGACATTTTAGGGTTCGTGATAAAGTTGTTTGTTTGATAATATATCTATTTGTAAGAGTTATAGAACATGACCTTTAGATCATAAGGTCTGTCATTGAATCAAGAGGCGTGGTTTCGACCCCACACTTTTACGTGACAATAGGTTGGGTTGCATGCCAAACCTCGTGTTTTTTCTGGATTCCGAGGTTTCGTTCCGATACTAAAGACTCCTACGTGCATACAAATTATTGAAATAAAATTGTACATTTTAGTCCCGAAATAACCTAGTTTGTATTGAGTGAACATTAAACCCCATTTCTCGGTCTCTATGAAAACCAAAAGCTCATTTGAGCAGCACGGTTGGGTGTTAAGCTTGCGGTAAATGCATGTCATCTTATGTTACATAAAATCATGATTCAATTCTATTAGTATATCTGTATTTACGAGGTACATTTATATATGTATGTGAGATCAACTGTAACGAGTGTTTAAATTTTACTGCTAATTATCGAACTCAAATTGATATCCGCTGTCAGCCCCTTGAATTCCCCAGTCCTATTCGAGTTGTTATTACAGCATAGCAGTCACACAGTAAGAACCTTCCTGTAACCATCCATGGCAATCCAAGACTTGCAGCACGGCAACCGCATGACTATTTTTTTTAAAACGAACTAAAACTGCCTTGCGGTCGAATTATATCAGTGGGACTTGCAGTTTACCTGGAATCTGGAAATCCCACGTGAAGTTATATATAAATTCTAATTAATAAAGTCTATCAGCTTCTCGTTGAACAACACTTTACATAAAGAACTGATAGCCATCTAGTTAAGGTAGGAATCCTATTTTGACTTAGAATTTAAAGATAACCTGCTCCGCATTGTTTAAACTTGAAAAGAACTTTGATCGGTCTGTCTTGGCCCATTCTCACGTAATTTATATAAAGAAGCGAAGACATTTCTTCAGGTGTGTTTACTCATGGGACGTCAACAAACTAGGTTTATGTTACAATTACAGCCTGCCTCATACATCAATTAATTTGTATACAAACACCTTAGATCCAACATACCATTTCAGTGGATCTTCTGTTTACGAGGTAGTGAAAATAGTCATCGGTTTCAGTATATATTTATACAATTTAGACAATACTTCCGTTTCTTATTCATTTTGATGTTGTTTATACAGTATGTTTTTGATTTACCATATCCTTCCTTTTATCAGCCAATGAACGGATGCCCGGGCCTGATCAAGAATAGTTATATCCAATCACAGTGTCTAAACTAAGAGCACAAGGAAAAATAAGTTTATTTAGTGTAGGCCAGCAATAATTAAAACTGAAACGTAATTTAAATAATCAGGATTTAATGAGATTGATTTGTTGAGTTTTACACGTATCTAGCTGGTACATGGCACCTTTGTCTTCTCGTTCGAACGATAGACGACCATATATCTTGTCAACGTTGAAAGCTATACAAAACCTGTAAGAGGAACCAGGATTGACAAATACCAAACTCATATTCTCTACCCTGCTGCATGAGTTTAGTTTTCTAGTAACGCTACTTTAAGTGTTTCTAAGGCTGCATGTACAATGAAACACATAGATATTATATTATGATCTAAAATTTCAGAGAATGATGACGGTGTGTTTGGCGTCAATAGATACCCATCTTAAGACATGCTACTGTAAAAACCTAACCGATAGAATGTAATACAATCGGTACATATAATCTATATATGTACATCCAATTACAGATCATGTCACTCGGTAAAACGAAACAAAAAATTCGTATATTGTTTATGTTTTCTTTGGAGGTTATGTTGCATCTGTCATACGCTTTCCTGCTTGAACTAATTTCACTAGCGTTAAATCTCGTTTGTGTATTTTTATCTTCATCTATATATGCAAATAGTTTGATATAGTTTTAGGCTCTTCGTCAATATGGTAATTCAATTTGTAATGTTGTCAGAAGTTCGGCAATTGCTATAAACGGACAATTACAAATGTGGTCAATACTTTGAAGTTGCACATTGTGACTAATATAAGCCCGAGGCTATAAATACACTGTCTGTGTTCTCTCGTTTCCAATATATGGCCAATGAACAGAAATTGTATCTATGGAGCTCTTGTATTGCAGCAGATTACATTTCGGAGATCTTTCTAAAAAACATAATGCTCCAAAAAGGATATTTCTATTGTTGGAATCAACGTAATGCCTTTAAAGATACATTCTCGCGTATGGACTGTGTGATTTGATGATATATTTGGACTAAACAACATATTCAAACTAATTAATTTATCAAAAATTTGCTTTGTATACGTGGAGATATTCCTCAAGCTAAATACACTGATGTTAAAGGCCATGTCTGTCATCTCACTTCTCTGAGTAAGGGTCCATTTTCCAGAATGTATCTTACATTATTTACTGTCCATTTACCATACATAATGAGGTCTAAGTAAATTCTTAATTATTTTCTGTCAACTTCTGTTTCCGCCGTTGAATTGCAGAGTCTTTTGTACACTGACAATCCTCAATGTTACCAAAACCTCCTAACCATTTGATCAAGAAACGACAACCTCTCCCACAGTCAAGCTAGCACACAAAATGCTAACAGACAACCATCAGGTTGCAAGTTAGTGATACCCTGACATTTTTGCCCAGTGCTTGCCCCATAGGTGATTTTCGGGTAATCAAGTATTTTTCTAGTAAGATTGGGTATCTATGCTTTCTATATACAAATGTATACCAAATTGGCCATACGGTTATTGGAAATAATCACCCGATAAATACTTTCGGGACATGTATCTTTAATGGTAGGTTTGAATAAATATTAACTAACTGTGAAAAATCAATATTGTACATATTCAATTAAGAAAAGCGCCAAATATCAAATTGCAGCGGTTTCTGTGGGGGTCTCAGTAAATATTTAGCATATATAGTGAGACACAGGTAATGATCGACCTTGTTACATACATCTTTACAGATAGGTAAATCAACATACTCTATTATTTATCTTATATAGGTAATCGCTTCTTGCCTTTGTAAAATAGTTCAATTCGGTTTAAAACGATAATAAAATATTTAGCTACTGTTTCATAGATCAAACTTGTACGTTCTACATCGATTTGATGAAACAACTGCTGTTGCTTAAAAAGACAATAATATGTTCCATTAATAGTTTTAAAATCAAAGCGACAGCTTGAAAAACATTACATTACTCATACTGAAGCTGCTTCTAAAGTTCTATATTTGAATTTTATTCTGGTTTGTTAACTATTTAATGATATACAAATAATTATTTCACCAGTTCAACGCTCTGATTGTACATGTTTCTCAGCCTACATCGTTTACCTCTCCAGTGGATTTTTTCCCGCGGATATTAACCATCTGAACTGACGACACGTCACAAATACCTATTAAAGTATATTGTCTTGATTAAAAAGTGGGACATCAGGTGTCTTTCAAATACGTATTGACCTCCCTCTGATTTGATTTCATGATCATGGATCGTGCTAGAAAGATAGTTATGATGCGTGTGATACTCCAAAAAACTAAAAGGCAATGTAATGTTTAATGCCATTGCTCCATTAAGGTGTTCTAGAAAGATAATCTTTTATATATACAGGAAATGAAATGAAATGAGGTTTAACGTCCTACTTTTATGCACCGAATGGGATAATGAAGACGGTCATACGCCATGCAGCTTGCTATAAGGATATTTTGCCTGGACAGCGGCGTTACTCTTATTCCTATCAATAAAAATACCAAGGGATCTGTTAAGTGCACGCACACGTGCACACGCGGCTTCGGTCTTTTGTCCCACCCGAACGACTAGTCACCGGGAATGAATGTGATTTTTATATCCTTGGCGATTAAAGTTACATAATTATATAATACAGAAATTTAATGTGATAAATATTACTTTTAAACTGCATATGACAATACGTCTTGGTTGTAGCCCATAAACAGCCATATTGGATTTTCTAACACGCCAAGAGTCGTGATAAACTTGATGAGTATTTCATTAGTCTATGTATACTTTGATACCAACTCTTTATTTATCTCATTTATTAACAAGTGTTTGGCAAACAAACTACTGAATATATACAGAGTTTACAACCCATAATCCGCTATTGGTTTATTCTGGCCAAGGGAGACAAGTCATTTATTAAGCAATTATTTTTTTATTGCCTCCAATGTTAATTTTGTGCAATTTTCCGTCCTATGAGATTTTTGGCTCTCTAATTAGGCCATAAGCGCTATATACTCATCTTGTTCTTCTACTTCGAAAAAAAGACCAAGGCTTCCCAATTCAAGTACGATCCAAATGAAACTTGGCATGCGTGTTCTTCGGACCGTTGTGCCTCGATTGGCGTACTTCGATTTTGATATGACGTCACAATTAAAAGATGGTGATCATAACGTCACGCTCGTACCTGTTTGTAATGATTCCGATGATGGACATTTAGCTGATAAAAACCTTGATGGGCGACCAGTCTTCCCAATTACTTTTCTGGTTATCTTGGGGGTTGGATGGCTGAATGGTTAGCGTGCGCGCGCTGTATCATAAAGTCTGTCATTGAGTCGACTGGCGTGGTTTCGAATCCCCGGTTGTACGTGGCAAGGAGTAGGGTCGCCTGTCCAACCTCGTGGGTTTTCTCCGGGGCCTCCGGTTTCCTCCCACTGCTAAAGACCCCTACGCGCAAGCGAATTATGTAAATAAAATTAAACCATATGTTAGTCCCGAAATGACCTAGTTTGTGTCGAGTGGACGTTAAACCCCATTTCTCTCTCTCTCTCTCTTTCTGGTTATCTTATGTTCTTTCTTCATCACAGATCATGATCATTCACCAAAACCTGAAAGTCAATTTAAATTTAGTTACCTTTAAACACACATTATGTAAATCTGCCTATTGCAGGTCTTTCTCTAGGCCTTATATGTTATATAACCTATTAATTAGACATTTATCAACATGACAAGACTATAATCTAGTTTCGATGCCATCTCATGGGTACTATTTTAAAAATTTGAATCCGATCTGCGATTCAACGGCTGTTGATGATTAACAGTACAAATGGATAATCGAGATTGTCAGCTCTTTAAATCTAATCTTCCATAATGCCCATTTAAACAGAACTGGGGAAAATATATACTTGTTATAAATAGTACACTAAGGGGATATAATTAATATAGTCTCGGTTCATTCACGGACCAGTCATGGTGTCGACTTTATAAGATTACAGAAGTATACTTGACATCTACTTGAAATATCTGGTCTTATTTATCATAACATACATTAGTATAATATTTCTTTACGGATTGGGGATGGGGGTGGATGGCCGAATGGTTAGCGCATGCGCGTTGTATCATAAGATCTGTCATTGAGTCAGCTAGCGTGGTTTCGATTCTCCGACTGAACGTGACAAGGGGTAGGATCGCCTGTCCAACCTCGTGGGTTTCCCCCGGGTCCTCTCTCTCTCCGGATTAAGAGGAGTGGTGGTGAACATGTGGTCTGATCCGCACGCTTTAGATCATTAGGTCTTCGTCGATGTGCGTGGTCGTGGGTTCAATCCGTGTATGTGACAAGGATTAGGGTCGCCTGTCTAACTTCATGGGGTTTTCAGGGTTCTCCGGTTTCCCCCAACTTGAAATAAGTTATACATTATGTTAGTCCCAAAATGACCTGGTTATTGTCAAGTGGACGTTAACCCCCCCCCCCCTCCCTCACTTTCTCTGTCTCTCTACCTATACACCACTTACAGGTAACTTTGTAAAGCTGGCCATGGTGGTGTTGAATGGTTGAATGGTTAGCGTGCGCGCTGACAAGGAGTAGGGTCGCCTATCCAACCTCGTGGGTTTTCTCGGGGTCCTCCGGTTTCCTCCCACTGCTAAAGACCCCTATGCGCAAGCGAATTATTGAAATAAAATCAAACCATATGTTAGTCCCGAAATGACCTAGTTTGTGTCGAGTGGACGTTAACCCCCCCTCTCTCTCTCTCTCTCTCTCTCTCTCTCTCTCTCTCTCTCTCTTTTGCAATGTTAAAGTATACAAATCTGTAAAGGTCGATAAAAGCGGTGAAGTGTTTATAAGTGTTTTAGTTTATATTATTAGACATGTCTATAAATTACACAAAGGGGTAATAGCCATCGCTGACCTCTCTATATCACATCTGAAACGACTTAAGCCGTTACAATTAAACCCTCCTCTGTTCGCTAAGGATGTTAAAGGTAATATTAGGGGCAGTGACAAGCTTTGTGATGATACAATGTAGCTTGAAAACCCAATTACATGCCAATGAAGATGGTTGAAGAAAACAGTGTACACTCTTGACTATTTTGCGCTGGAGGGGGTGATATTTATGAAGCTATTAAATGTCACATATCAGTATATTTTAAGATTCATTGTCACGACTTAGAAATTTAAAAAAAACTTTAAACCAGCCAATACGTCTTGTAACAGCCTGGAAAAAAGATTGTTTTTCTAGGTGTGATGTGGTAATTAATGTGACTCGATTAACCAGTTCTAATTTGAGTTTACAAATTCATCATAAAATAGCAACTGACAAATGTTTTTAACATTAGTAACAATAACCATAACATTAGCACGTAACGCTGTTATTTCATGTATTATAGACAATTAATAATAATGTGTACAGGGATGCCAAACCCAACCACTGTCACTCATAAAAATATATACCAATAAATTTACACCCCTGGAGGCAAATGTCCTAACCAAGGTTTAGGAACCCTTAGGATCAGATATTAAAATGTATGTTTCAATATTTAGTATGTCTCTTAATACAGTAAAATCGTTTAAGGTCCATAGGAACGTCAATATGTGTCCTTAGATACTAGTAGTAAAAATATAGACGTGGGTCAATGTATATACTGAAAACTTATTACCCTTTTCATTCAATGAGATTAATGTACCTCTTTCAGATCATTAATTTTCATGTGCACCCCACACCATGGTTCATTTAGTTTTAATGATGATCTTATCATATGGTATACTCTATTATAGTTTGTAGGGATCATAATTCTATACTACTTACCTTTATATTCTATGATCTCATCCGAAATCGGCCATTTTGCGATCCAGTATTGTATTTTACTCTCAGTTCATATTTGATTATGATTCTACGATATAATACAGCTGATCTAATAACATTTAACGGTGATATGTCAGATTTGTAGACCCGTGATTTATATGTGGTATTCAATAGTATACAGTATAAATGGTAGTTATACGTATTGTAGTTATAACCAGTACTGCAATGTAAAGAAACAAACAGAACGAATGGAGCATGATTGAGTTGGTTAACTTTCTAAATGGAAAGATTACTAAAAAGATAATCAGTTTCGAAAATGTCCGCTGCTTGAATTAATGCATGAGCTGGAATAGCAACGATCTGTATATTAATTGGCGCTGTGTAATAAGTACTCTGTCAGATTATTATGCCATTTAATTATTATTTTATTTTGCCTTGTTATTACCATACTACTTTAAGATAAAAATATGTTTAGTGGTTCCAACAGGTGCCCGTATTATGATCGCATGAATTTAACGCTAATGAGTTACCTATATCTTCTAAAAAACATATCAGTAACCAATGGTTCATGGTTAATAACCATTGGGCTACCCAGGGCGGCGCTGGTTTAAACAGCAAATTTAAAGGCAATAAGAATAGGGTCAATAATTCATCGAGAATTGAAATCGAAATGGGTAGCTTCCACTGTTCTGCTCCTATACTAGGCTAATAATAAAGACGGATCTTTTACGTGCACGCCAATGTATACACGGAACCCCGGTTTTTCCTCACTTCCGAACGACTTGACAGCTGTCCTTATCAGGCCCTCCGTCCTGCACCACTGACAAGGGGAAACCACGTCGGAAAAATCCGATGACCTTACTCGATCAATGCAGGGATCGAACACGCGACCTCCAGGCTACCGAGCCAGCGTCTTACCTACTTAGCCACCTGCGTCATACGTAGGCAAATTCCGAGTGGTTAAGTAACTAGCTTTAGACAGATAATTACCAACTCCTAAAGATGATTACAGCGCAAAAGTCCGAAGTTGGCCTGATTATCACCCATTTAGCAAAATATATCAAAAGGTGACTTTCAGAAAGCTTTTTCTCGAGGATTTGAATATGGAAAATATTACGGATATTCTTGGTACTATGAAGTAGTAGTCGTCAAGACTATTGTTTGACCCCTACTGTTCCATAAAATAGACGTTCAATGACATCCCGAATCTCTGCAGCCGACTTGGCCGAAATGTAACTCATAGACTTTGGTGCTTATTGCCATAGGCGACATAGATCAGAGGAAAGTTTATCCTCATATGTTTTCTTTTATTGGTTACTATGAATTTATTTCTTGACCTTAGGCAATTGTTAGAGAATATTTTGTATATAAAGGAGCGTAAATCTAATAAATCACGATACCAACTCTTTGATAAAATAGATCGTGGATTATAAAGTATTTTTTAAAAGAGAAATTTTATAGAGGGTTAACTGGTTCAAAATGCGAGCTAGAGTAATTCTTATCTAAAACTGGTATTTTCGTGGTGTGTGTGTGGGTTGGGGGGGGGGGCTGTAACTCTATGCAATTAATCTAAAAAAAAAATCCATTTTTTCAACTTGAAATCGTCCGAATTCTTCTTTTATAGACATAATTTGTACTTTCTACCGCCAACTTTTTCTTCTTACTTTCTATTATAGAAATAAATTAGATCAGGCAACAACCTCTGCATCTCATTAAAATAGATAGTCTAATAAAAATAGGACAAGCGTAATAGTTGCCTGGGGCTTAAGGAACTTTTGAATTTATTTCCGTAATATGCGAGACTGTAAAAGAAAGTCTATTGGATAAAATCTGCGTTACAAAATCGAGAGTAGAAGTTATGCGTTAAAAAACATAAACAGGACATTTATAAAATACATAAAAAGTGTATAAATTAAAACTTTAAAAGTTGAAAATAATATAAAGATAACATTTACTGGAGAATGGGGTTATTAAAAGCTGATAAAATAATAAATGTTTATTTTAAGGTAATTATACAGCGTCACTTTATCTGATAAAAAGTCGGAGTCTACATCGTAAACTTTTGGTTTTCAAAGCCGTAACCAATCTGATAAAGACGACGATTGTTTAATTGGGCGGTAACGTTGTAAAAGATCACATAAATAAGACGGTGCTAATATGTTAAGACTTTAATTAGTCCTGAATTTAGCAGGAAGCTAAGCGAATGAAGATTAAAAGTTAAGATATTATTGTAAGTTTCCAAAATATTTGACAAAACGGTTAGGTATACAGCGCATTCCCCAAAATACCCGAGTACGACAGAAATCTGTCTCCATAATATGAGCGAAACAAGCGAGAAGTGAGTATACCTGTACGCGACACCCATCAATACATTAGGTAATATAACAAATAGTTTGAACTTAGAATTTGGAAAGTTACTCAGTAGAAGGGAACTATCGGGCAATTGCCACAAGTCTGGGTTTCAGTAGTTCAAGTTAATCAGTAGAGGAGGGTAGGCCGGGGACAGTACCCACCAATCGAATTTTAATGGATTTTCAAAACACCGAAGAACAAATAGATGATATATGAATATCTAGAAGTAGTTTCGTAAATAATAAAAAATGATAATTAAACTTCCTACTGAAATTCCTCATATTTGATTCAAATATAAAATAAAAGTATAATCACAAAGCATTCAATGCTTTTGCCTACATATATATTAAAGAAACTATTTCAGCGCATTTGGTAACGACGTGCATTGTTGACTAATAACGCAATTGACATCGCCGACTCGGAGCTTTGCTTGTGGGCAACTAAGGGCATTGATCCAACCATCTTAAATCGTCTCTTAATTCTTATAATATCTGAAATTTTTGAAAGCATCAAAGGTATCGTTGACTCAACTACAAGCCTTTTGAGCATGACCTTCTTAGAATGGACCTTCTGGATATCTATGCGTGCCTTCCGCAAATAGCATTGAATTCTTTCGGAGAATTATTACTTTAAGCTAACAACATAATAATTGATTATTTCAGATAGAAATATAAGGTATTTTTCAGTCAAGCGTTAAATGTAGTTCGGTGACAGCGTGGCTTGGTGTGTATGGCGCTGGCTCACCAGGTAGGACGTCTCAGGTACGATTCTTGTATTGGTCAAGGAAGCTCCTCGGGATTATCCAGCCCGCTTTCCCTTGTCATTGGTGTAAGATATAGGGTGTGGCAATCAAAACTGCCATTAGCGTGCACGTAGAATACCCCTTTGTAATTGTAATTCCAAGATGACTAGGCGGAAATCTTCATCAGCCTTGTTCGTGCAGGAAAGCAACACGTTAAACCCGCATTTCATTTATTATGCAGTTCTTCAGCTTCACCATCTTCATTAACCCAGTAGGACGTTAAACCCCATTTCATTTCATTTCTTCAGTTACTGTTTAGTAAAGTCCTTCCAGCATAACTGGTTTATCCGTGTAAGTTGATGGTTGGCAGAAATAAGTAAATATGTAAAAGAGCCGAGACAATTTGGTCATTTGTTTACTTACATTTCTTAATTGACATCCATATCTATTAACACTAACCGGCACGTGTCGAAACTACACCCAAAAACGACACGTTAAACTGTATTTACCGGTTCAAAGGGCTATTTGAACAGTAGAACCACGTCCATATATACCAAGATAAAGTTAAATGTCACAATCTAAAAACTTTAAACGCCCTTAAAAACATCATTAGGTATCTGGAGGGTGTAAGATAGCTGTGGAAATCTGATCTGCGATTAAAAAAGCACGTCAAATGTAAAAGATTTTTTTTTTAAGAATTCATGACACAAATTCTTTAAGTCGCACATATCTTTGTATTGATTTAATAACGTCATCATTATGTGTCTTGGAACGTCGGATACCTCTGACGAATAACTCGTTTCTATATCTATGAACATCGAGATTACTTTTTAAATAACAACTTTTAGGGCGCAATTTGTATTACTCTAAAACAGCTCTGAAACTCATTTATTTAGGTCTAAATAAAAGTATTGAATTGAATTACGATTAATGAATGGGCAAGATCGGTAAGAATAAATATTTCTATCGAAAGATGATGCGGAAATCGACTTGTGTACTGTTTATGTTGTTTGGACGGTTACCTAAAATAATAATAATAATAATAATAATAATAATAGTCTATTTATATTGCGCAATGTCCATGCATGAGCCTGCTCAAAGCGCAGTCCAAAAACGACCACAACTATCATAAAGTGAATGCTGTCTTAAACAAAGTCTGGATCTAAACACAACAGTATCTGGGGAGCTCTTTATTTCCAGTGGCAGATCACGAACGTTCTTTGATCAAAACGGGCTGTTTTAGACTTCGGCACTACAAGGAGTTTCTTATCTACAGATCTGAAAGGTCTTTGTAGGGGCGTAGGATTGTAAGAGATCCCTCAGGAAGAAAATGGAGTTATTTGAGAATTGGTGTTTTGTGACTGTAACGAGGAGCAAGAGATATTATCCTAGATCCTGTGTTCTGGATCTTTTTGAGTCGCGAAACAAGAGAAGTATGAACACAGACCAGTAAACAATTGCAGTAATCTATCCTGGAAAGAATCAACGAGGACACCAGTATCATAGTAGAATCAGCATTAAGATACTTCCTGATGCACCCAATGTTCCATATAATGAAATAGCACACTTTAGAGATATGATTGATGTGGGTTCCCATATTGAGATTACTATCAAACATCACTCCAAGATTTCTTATGCTATTGGAAATTGGAATAGAGAGGTTGCCAACACGGACATGGGTTATACAGCAAATATCACGTCTAGATTCAGGACCAAGAAGAAAAGCTTCAGTTTTCTCATCATTAAGTTTTAGTTTATTTGCTGGCATCTACAAATGAATTTGTTCATAACACCTTTCTCTATAGATATAACTTTCTCTCTACACTTAACAAATAAGCACGTAAATACAATCAAGTCAAAGACGTTATGTCACTTTAAATACGGAAAAATCACCAAAGCTTTCTAATGGGGCTTTAAGCAAAATATGTTCAAAATCAGTACATGTTTCAATCGGTGGGACGTATAAACTCAATTGGGTTTAATTGGGTTTAACGAGTTCCAGAAGCAGAAGCAAGCGTGTAAAATAGTTTGCATCTTATTTTTACACGTGCACATTCTATACCCCCTACCCCCTGTTAAATGTTTGTGGAAGCCAGGCTGTTTCTCCTTCTTCCATCTCTCACTCC